TAAACATGGTGTTATGTGCTGATCATATCCGTATCACATTTAGGGAATTCTAGAAAATAAACCCAAGAGAACATCCTTCTCGAAAAAGTTTGTTGGTCTAGTGATTGTTATATCTTTAAAAAAAAAGAAAAGACGTTTTTTAAATGTAAAAATAAAAATTATACAAGAATACTTTTTGAGAAAAATGTATTTTACTATGCATTTTACTATGTGAATTAACTTTACTTATTTTTAAAAAAAAAGAGTAATTAAGAAGTAATTTAAACTAAAACTAGGTTATGAAATAACAAATACAAATAAAAAAATTCATAAAAAACGTTTTAAAAACAAGCTTTTATGTAATGATGCACTAAAAAGTAGAAAATAAATTATAGACTACTATTTAAATAACTATAAAGAAAAGCGTGGGTCACTTTAGTATCTATTGGATACCTTTACTAATGTTAAGGAAGACACCCACGCTTTTCTTTATAGTTATTTAAATAGTAGTCTATAATTTATTTTCTACTTTTTAGTGCATCATTACATAAAAGCTTGTTTTTAAAACGTTTTTTATGAATTTTTTTTCAGTACTTTACATGTTTTATCTACAATAGAGTTACATGACTAAAAACCATTGCGCGCCTACTGAACATCACGTTCAGTAGGCGCGCAATGGTTTTTGAACGCAGCCATTACGTGGTCGTGATGGCGCAGCTATTGATGACGCGTGTGGTGTGGTTGGCTAGACATGCCTACTAATTCGGTCCAAATTTTAATTAATTCATAAAAAATCAATTAGGCATCCAATTAAGTCAAATTTAGTTTCAGATTGCATTGTCTTCATGTCTTGACCCACGTGCCAACTGTGAATCGTGTCGGTCAAGTAGAACTGTCCGAATTTTCACTCCTGCGTTTCCGTCTAGACAGACTGTCGACAGACTGACGACAGAGGAAGTGAGTTAAATAAAAGCTTGTAATAAACGTGTTGGTTTACGTCAAATTAAATTAAACATATTAGATTTTTTAGCGTTTTAAAAAAAAATACGTATTATTTATCTGTATTATCTGTGTTTAGTAATTTTCCAAATATGGTAAGAGAGCGAACTTAGCAGCATTCTAATATGAATTGCGTTATTTGTACCTCGTATGTGTCTTGAATTAGCCTAGATTGGTTAATTACCTGTTAAAGTTGTTAGTAGTAATCTGATGTTTTTTAAATAGACATGTCAGCTTTTTGGTAGACTTAATAATTAAAACACAACTAGAGCGGAATCAATATATTGGTACTAAGTGAATGAATACAAAACAATTTTAATCGCAACAGTCTAAAAATGTGTACTACTGTAATGTACATAATAAACTTCTGAGAAAATAACATAAACCTTATTTATACATAATGCATATAAGCATTAACTACTGTACCCCTACAGCTTTCTCGTAAATCTTTGTCGATGCACTTTTTTTTTTCAATAGAGAGCAATGCGGAAGTCTGAGGTGTAAATATAAAGAAGGTCATGGTTCAACGCTTTACCAGGAAAACGTGTGTACGAGCTGTCATACATGTTATACATGGGCAGCATGAGACGGTCGTATGTTGTCAGTAATGTCAGGTGTCAACATTTTAAACAGATATGGGCTTCGTTCTACAATCATCGGCTATAATGGTCTGTCTTATTATACGTAAGTAAAATATTTCTACCTTTATATGTGAAACTAGTTTTAACACGGTTATAAGAAAATATAAACTCACACGCAACACACTACCACCCTATAATATATATATATATATATATATATATATATATATATATATATATATATATATATATATATATATATATATTTATTTATTTATTTATTTATTTATTTATTTATTTATTTATTTATATTTATGTTAATAAAAATAAAAATAAACAAATAAATATGTATGTATATTCATATACAGGCCTATTTATATACTTATTTTTTCATTGTTCTAGATATACATGCCTTACAATTCTACATACGTGATTATGAAGATTCAGCCAACAATGTCACAATAGCATACCTTAGCAATGCTAACAAGTTGTTGTTTGAAGCTTTTGTTCATTTCGAAAGCGCACAACATGAGTTTGCAAAGAATATTTACTTTACTTACACTAATGCGACTGTTTCGAAAAGGGTTTGTTTTCTATTTAATTTTATAAAATACTTGTACGTTATGTTTGTACTTAGCACTTAGTATAACTTAGTATTTTTATCGTAAAATCAGTTTCAAGTTTATGCGTTTTCTTTAATTCAGGAGCTTTAATTTTGTAATAATTTTACTATGAATATCATTCATTAGAGGTTCTCTTTTATGACTTTCAAAAGGGTGACGAGCACAAAAAAGTGACTTTCTTGACTCATAGATTGCGAAGTGGTTAGGTGACTAATGAATAACAGCGCGTTCAATTTTAAAAAAACAAATTTTTTACCTAAAAAAAATCACAAACATTTAAAGTGCATTTTGAGCTTGGAAGTATAAATATTTGTTACATGTTTTTAAATAAACTGCTTATCATCTACTTAGATTATTATCAACTTTTCCCGTTCATGCCCAAAATACATGAGGCAGATGAAGTAGAGTTAATCTGTTTCAATGACCTTAGCATTCGAGGAGATAGTATGTCAGATAAAACCCCAGCCGACTTTGTTTCCCTAACGTAAGTCAGGTACCCGTTTGAGCTGGGTGGACTCACGGACGTTCTACACACGGGGATCCAAACTCGACACTTTCTGGTTAGCAATCTAGGGCTCTAACGCTAGTCCACCCCGTCCCATACTTGAGCAGTTAGCAATCTAGGGCTCTAACGCTAGTCCACGCCACCTAAAACAAAAACTCCAGAAACCCAGTCCATCAACCAGACTACAAAGAACAAGTTTCATCAAAGAAGCAAAGAATCTGAAAAAGAAATATGAAATCGAAAATATCATTCCTGAAGCAATAAAAACTCAAAACCTCTCCCCGCCTTGGATCTCCCACTGTCCCTTAACCATTATTGACTCAATAGACACCATAGGAAAAAAAATCTGACTATGATCTAGAAGAACTTAAGAAAATAACAAATAAACACATTAAGGATCAGTACCCCAGCAATACCTGGATTAGAGTTTTCACATATGGCTCAGCTGAAGATGCCACAAAAAACGGCGGGGCTGGCATCCTTATTGAATGGCCAAGCGGAGAAAGCCTGGAAAAGGCAATAGCCACAGGCAGCCTATCCGACAATTTTAGGGCAGAAAAAGAAGCTTTAGAACACGCAGCAAACCTCCTGTCAGAACACCCTGAATCACCGAATAGTCAGATTGTATTTCTTACAGATGCCAAATCAGTCCTGCAATCCCTACAAAATCCGGAGTCCTATATTCAAACACTTATGACAGCACTAGAGAGGCTAAAAATACCTGCAGCAGAATTGTGCTGCAGTGGATCCCGGGCCACTGCCAGATCCAGGGTAACGAGATCGCAGACCAGCTGACAAAAATTGGGGGAAAGAAACCACAACCGGAAATTTCGCTACACCCAAAAGAAATAAAAAGAATAATTAAAAACAAACAAACGCAAATGTGGTCTGTCACACACCCTCACTACATTAAAGACGACGGCTATTACAATTTAACACGAAAACAACAATACATAATCTTTCGACTTAGAACAGGCCACAACAGACTAAATCAACACATGCACAAAAAACTGAAGGTTGGGTGTAGCGAAATGTGCCCTTGTGGCAAGGCCCCGGAAAACACGGAGCACGTACTCCAGGATTGTACTCTGTATGGCCAGGCAAGAGGCAGACACTGGCCCCAGCCCACCCCACTCAGGGAAAAATTATATGGGACACCTGACAAACTGGAAACCACAGTCCGGTTTGTCCACGAAGTTGGACTTGTTGTCTGAATCCTCCACCATATTCAAAAATTAAGAACGAAGAAGAAGAAAGAAGAGTCCACGCCGTCCCATACTTGAGCAGTTAGCAGTCTAGGGCTCTAACGCTAGTCCACCCCGTCCCATACTTGAGCAGTTAGCGAACAAAGAAAAGAACATTAATCAAAGTTAGTAGTAGACATAGCTTAAATGTCTGTATTTTAATTATATCGTCGCCCCGATCTTAAATAATTATTATCGTTTTTGTTGTTGTATACTTTCGCTATTGTTGAAAGAAGTATTTTGTTACAGATTTGTATCGTAGATCTTCAACCATGCAATGGAGGTCTGAGAAGAAACAGATGCTACTGTGAGAGTATTGATGAGTCAGGATTTTACAAGGTCGTGTTAAACATATCGGCTTCAGACTATGAGAGTAGTGGAGAAATATACGGCACTGTCACAAATCTATCGCTGACAAAACACTACAGTAACAGATTGAAGCACCATTTTGGTAGGTTTTTGAAGTACTGGTATAATGTATTTTCTAAATGCGTCTGTATTCTGTTGAACATTATAATGTGATTAATAACAAAACAATATTTTAATAACGGAGGAATAAAACTTTACCGCATGATATCCGTGTACTAGTTTGCCACTTTACAAAATGCAATGTGTTACCAGAATGTTAAACAAGCGTGATCAAGTGTGTGTTGTTATGGTTGATTTAACTCCAACACCAAACTGTGCTACGTTTTCAGCATTTTATTCTAATCCCAGTTTCAGAAAAATTTCACCTCCAATTCTACTATAAGACTCTCACCTCCACTATTATTATAATTCTTTCTACCCAAAATCCTCATCAGCAACTTTTACACTCCTGTTGATCCCATATTCGACAGCGGGAAAAATAAAACAACATAGGACTAACCACAACTCACTAGCCCAGTTGATCAAAACTATTACTAATCAAATTAATACGTGACGTGTACATTGAATTGTAATAAACAGAGTTCGGGTCCCTAATATCTATCTATATATATAATTCTCTACGTCGCCCAACCATACGGGGCACCGTCCGCCCGCGGCCCACCCTCCCCCACCCAACCCTACCCCCTCTCGCTCTCCAGATATGCTCATGTGTGTACCCACCCAACCGTGTCTTTCAGGAAGTCTTCACCCGTTGGGTATGCTACGCCGCGGGTCGATCCTATTGTGTGTCTACCCTTGGCGTTGAAATATCACTCTCTGTTTAATTTGTCAAGCAAAAAAAATTCTTCTAGTTCGTACTTTGGAACTTCGTTCCTTTTCTGAAACGAAAACCGAACAGTCAAAAGGTTCGTACACCGGACTGTTCGTTTATCAAGGACATATAATCTTGTGCGCCGGGGTACATCACTAAAAAATGTACATTAAAATTTACAAAATCGACTTTTGTATCCATCATTACTACATTATCAATACATTAATTTCTCATTAAGGTAAAACTGACCGACCTTTGAAACAAGTGCATCACACTTCAACAGAGGCTTTAGCAACTCATGAGGGGAATGTTACAGAATCATACAAAGGTACATTGTATTTTATTGATCTGTTTAATTGTAAAATTTGAGCTTTTTATTTAAACAAGTATGTTCTCATGATCAAATGATCGATTGTTTTTTTTATTAGCTTTTTATTTATTTTCAGATCAGAACTCCACAAAGTTATCACTTCAAATCATAGACGCCAATGTCAAGAAAAAATACCCTTTTCAAATAACAGGTAGGCTTTTTGATGCTAATAAAAAATAATAATATAAATATTTAACTATTAAATTTCTATTTTCTGGGCTTTTTAATTTGAATGTATAGTATCTTTTAAATTAATAAATGTAATCTAAATCCTTATGATCTGGTACTTATAACTAGTACCAAAACATTATGTGTATCTGCAATTCATTAACATTGTTTCTTTATATATATATATATATATATATATATATATATATATATATATATATATGTACATATATGTGTGTATATATTTATATTTACAGAGGAAGGGAGAGGTGACTCTTCAGATTCGACAGAAATAAATATCGCTCTAGTTGTTATCATAACTTTAATTGTCAGCATTGCTGTTTTTATCATTTTTATTCTCTGCTTCACCAAAGGTAGGTATTTTTAGATTTCACTACTCACTATACAGTATCCCCTTCAAAACATTTTACGATAATGATACAGTTGATTGATAGTAAATGATTTACTGCTATACATATCCTTCATTATAGGCTTAGCGCAATGATAACATTCATTTTCAAAACGAGATTTACATTTGTGTTTACTTAGTGTTTTTACTAGCCCGCATAGTACTCGTCACAATGTTCACCAGCTGGTACTTTTAAAATCTGCAAATAATTTTAGAATAAAAAACCTATCATTTGGTCCATGTGAGATTTTTAGGTACCTCAGAAGAATGGTCTCTGGCAGATGAGGCTCGTTAGCTGGAGGTAGCCGTTCGTCTAGGAGAGACAACTCCAAAATCTAACAACTGCTGCCTTGTAGTTTGTTCTTGGTTGGACAAAGGCCATGGAAGCAAATCCAAAAATAAGAGCAGGCTGAAATCGGTGTCAATGGCCTCATTGGCGCATAACCAGTTGACAAGTATCCTTAATTGTGTTGGATCCCTGCCAACACTAAAATTAAGAACGAAGAAGAAGAATGGTTCATACTTTATTCGCTGATTGTTTCCCCTAAAGCTTACGTAATACTCATGTTGCTAGAGACGAAAGGGCAGATCTAAGACTGTGGTTTAAAAAAATAACATACATTATTTGGTTTCTACGAGACGAGGGTGGAAACTACGTCATATGACACCATGAGTTACTCTCTCCTACATTAAAATCACATACTCTCCCTTCCTTTCTTACAATTTGGTTTAAACCAATCGTTTAAAGAGTTTGTTAAATGATACACATTCCTGAACAATTATTTAGCTCTGTAGTTTACTTTAATGGATTTTCATATAATATTATTATAATTAAAAAAAATTAATTTAGAATCTAACATAACGTATAAATGTCACAAGAATCTGTCATTTATTGTATTCAGATGACGTATTTTATACTTCAGCGAAGAGGAGAACCACGGAGACTGATCACACATATGAGGAGATATGTGATGTTCAAACTAAACCACAACCACAGAATCACGCGGCGATATATGTCAACGGTATACATCCTTCGGTACATGCTAACATAAAAGGACCCGTGTAATTATGGCACAATATTAAATTCCGAACATCGACAAATGGGCAAAATATTTAAATTTACTGTATTGGCAATTGTTAACGTATATTTTTTTAATGATTTAATATTTTGCAATGTTTTAATTATTATAATGATTTGCACCCATATGTGATAAGTATTATTTTACAAATGCCAAGTCTGTTGGTATTCACTCTATGAGTTATTATATAAAGTACAGTAAGTTCGGTGAATTGAATGATTTTTTAAATTGTATCGTTGAAAGCTTGTTTTTGTTATATTATGTGATCATGCAGCTAGAAATACTAATAAAAATGTTGATTTGTTTAACTGCTTAATTTCCAGCGATGTCGTGTTATGGTTCTATCAGAACCTGAAAACTCCCCATTGTATCAGGGGTGGCTATTTAAAAGTATAAACTTATTAAGATATATATATATATATATATATATATATATATATATATATATAGCTAGACAAACATGTTTACATACACATATGTGCGTTCGTTAAATTGTGTGTTCGTTTGTTCATTCTTTTCTGTAGCTTCAATTAGCTAATACGTGCTTGCCATGAAAAAATCAAAGAGTTTTTGCGAACAAAGATTTCTAAAATAATGTGCAACTACCTGTGTTGTTTATTGCAATGTTAAAGGTCCAGTGAGCAGGAATATCTCTAACAAAATTATGTGTATTGATCACATATCGTTGGCGGAGGATGAAGTGTAAAATATGTTTGACTGTGTAAGTATTGAATTATGATGCATAGATTAAATAATAATATCCTGAAAATAACGAAGAATTCTTCTTCTTAAAGCTAAGTTCTAGATCAGTTCATTTTTTTATATAAAAAACATTGCCATATTTCGAGAACTGTTTCTATTTGAGGAGTGAAAAGTCTGTTGCATAGGCAAACCTGTAAATCATGTAGTGGATTCCCCTTAATTGTGGAACTAGATTTTCTACTTTTTTTTCAAATCATGATTTTGACCCAAGCAAAGACTGTGCATCGTGCGTACAAACCCCTCAGAGATTTTTCCCATTTTAAACCTTAAGTTTAAAAAAAAAATGTTTTTTTCATTATATCTTCACTTTTTGTGTTTGTTTATGTTCACCACAAAATCCACACGCTTCATTTGTTTTCATTTGAACGAATATATTTTATGGAGACAAGCATCTGCGAGCACGAACTTATGCCTGTTAATAGGGCTGGTAAGTAGGTCACCAACCAGTGACAACACCATTACAAACTTAAAAAAAAATATTTTGGATATTTTTGTTTAAATAAGTCTACAAGTTGGCGACCCTGAAAGTCCAGTCAGTTTGGGATCCAGTGTACTAGAGAAATAGCCCCCAAAATCCCAACCTCTACCTCAAATTTAACCTGAAAAAAAAATCTGATTTGTTATCCAAAATCGGCATTTTAACCAGATCCGGAAATTTAGCAGGATACGGAAATTTGGACAGAAACGGGTGGAATTTAAGCGGATACGAAATTTTATTAAAAATTGTCACATTTACCGGATCAGTAAATGTAGACGCATCGGGCTATTCAGAACCTTAAGGGGTATGAAGTTCTACCGAAATGGAAGTTTATTCAGAACATGCATTTCATCTTAATCCGAACATTTAACTGGAAAAAATAGCTGGAAACTAACCTGAAAAAATGATATACTGGACAAACTTAAATTCATACCTTAACAAAATTTTACTTAATACGGAACTTTATTGGGAGACGGAAATTTGATTTAAACGGAAATTTAAACGCAACATGAAATTTTAGTAAAATCGGAAACTTAAAAGGTACGAAGTATAACTGAAAACTGTATGATATTTGAACCTGAACCGGATACTTAATCTGAAATATAACTTCTAATATTATTTACTTTAACCGTTAACCTAACACTAACGCTTCCGATATATTTTACTTTTCCGGTACTTTTGTGTGTAACTATATACACTTAAAAATCAATGATAACAACACGCCATCTGACTTATACCTTTACCTAGTTATGCACATTTATACTAAATTTATTCGTATATCATAATAAAGCATATATTTCGTAAATAAGGTCAAGTTCGTTCGGGCCGTGGGGGGGGGGGGGGGGGGTAGACTTTCTTTAGGGGGGGGGGGGGGAGCTCCCCAAACAGATTCCTGAAAGAATCGCGTAATGATAGTGTCATTATAATCAATGACATCATTGTTATTGTGAAAATTTTGCCATTATATTTTTAGAGAGGGTAGGCTTCGGTAAAAAAAAAAACAAAAAAAAAAACGTTTTTAACACTTGTTAGAAAAAAAATTCTTTCTCTATAGTTTTTGTAATGTAGGCCTACATACGGGTATGTGTTTCCTTTTTACTTTCTCGTAATTGAGTATAGAAAAAATATTGTAATCGTGCAAAAAAGAAAATCGAGATTTTTGCAAATCTCGACGTTTTACAACTCCCTGAGTCGGAAAAATATAATTTTGCAATCTTGTCCATGTCTATGTGTGTATGTGTGTATGTGTGTGTGTGTGTGTGTGTGTGTGTGTGTCTGTGAACACGATAACTTGAGTACCGTTGCAAATAGGTTGATGATATTTCATAATTAAGTATTATATCAAAATTTGTAGTTCTTTAAACTTTTCAGTGATTTCCGGTAACCGGAAGTGGAACTTCTCTACTTTCAATTTTTCAAAAGTCTATAACTTGAGTACTGTTTAAGATAGATAAATAAAATTTCACATATAAGTAAAAGATCTAATTTTCTGCCTTTTTTCAAAATTTGAGTAATTTCCGTTGAAAGGAAGTAATAATTTACGCTATTTCTCATATCTAAAAAAAAGCATGTGAATTTATAAAGTACAAATAATATTCCGCACTATTATACACAGATTTTTTTGGTGTTCACTTGTTGCGCAATTCTTTTTCTACGAGATTCTATTTTATTATAAAAAGTTTAAGTAATTAAAAATGGATTAAAAATCATGTCTATATTACGAGGTGCCATCCCCCGTAGTGTTATATAAGAATATTCGAGAAAGTGTAGGGGAGATCACTCCTCGTTTATTTTTTAAATGGTGAGAAAATCTTGGTAACTAAGACAACGGCGGCCACCTTGAAAAAATTAACCTCTTATTAGGATTAAAACTATTGATAAAGTATTTGTATTTGAGGCACTAAACACTAAATCTTGGGGAATTTAAGGGTATAAAATTAATGTTTTTTACTTTTACGACGTTAAAATTTTATATTATTATTTTTCGTTTTTTTTGTTTATTTTTTTTGATGACTTCCTATTCGTTTTATGTGACGTCACAATATTATTTTTTTTAATCTGTTAACCGTTTTGTTACTTGTGGTCTCCATGTATAGTTCTTCTGAGATCTACAGACAGAAAGAAAGACATAAATCGAGCAATATTTAGAATACATACATATAAACACTATCTGAATAACAGATCAATATTAAAAATAAAACTTTAAAACTTCAAACTATTTTAATTTTTTTTATTTAAGAGGTCTTGAACTATCCGAAGCACTGTAACATTTCTTGCTATCCTGACTTTTCGATCTCCGTCTGAAAAAAATGTATGAGAACATATTTAAATTAATTCGTTCGTTCGTTCGTTCGTTGGCATTTCGTTCGTTCGTTCGTTCGATCGTTCGTTCGTTCGTTAGTTCGTTCGTTCGTTCGTTCGTTCGTTCGTTCCTTCGTTCGTTCGTTCTTTCTTTCGTTCTTTCGCTCGTTCGTTCGTTCGTTCGCTCTTCCGTTTTTTCGCTCGCTCGTTCGTTCGTTCGTTCCTTCATTCCTTTGTTCGTTCGTTCGTTCATTCGTTCTTTCTCTCATTCATTTGCTCTTTTAAATATGCAAATGTTCAGAAAAGATTTTTGAATATACAAACTGGCAGAGAGTTAAACCCGGTGGACAATCATTGGGAGTTTGACAAGAGATCTTTGTTGGAGGTGGTGAGCGAGGGGAGCCACACCTGAAAAATTGTGACGATTAAACTAGACGTAATCGACTTGGTTCTGCTCCATCTACTTCATCCAATATAAAGTACGGACCGACTTGCGGCAAATCATACGCCGCTATTTAGTTGTTTTATGCTGCCACTGAAAATATTTGCTTTAAAACACTAAAACCCTCCTTTCCCCCAACCCCTAGCGCCCCCCCCCCCCTCCCGTGAAAGCAGCCTCCTCTTAGTTACCTCCCCTAAGTTAAAAATCGTTTCAAACTACGCGATGATTAGTTGTTGTTTTTTCTACTTTTCAGTAATTCATAATTTGTGAATTCGACAGTACCAATGCTGCCACTGAAAATATTTGCTTTAAAACACTATCAGTAGCTCGTTAAAGACGATACCCCCCCTCTCCCACCTCCTTTCTCCAACCCATGCCCCCCTCCCCCCCCCCCCCGTGAAAGCTAACTCCTATTAGTTACCTCCCCTAAGTTTAAAATCGTTTCGAACTAAATTATCTGCCCCTAATAGCCGTCACTAAACCCAGGTCTACGATTGTAAACATTCAGCGTGAACCACAGCTCACCAGACCATGTGGGGGTGAGGGTGGTAGGGAGCGCGCTTACAGCTTGTTTTTTAACGTCTCCAAGAAGAGAATTATATATCTAGATAACTTCGAAATGGTATACGTAGTAGCATTGCTTAAATCGGAAACGGGTACACTACAACGTCATCATAAAAATTAGCTTACACCTCACCTCCCAGTCCTCAATAACATAATATAACAAGCTTCAGAGCAGTGGCGTAGCTTTGATTTTCGGGCCCCTATGCAAAGATTATCATTGGGCCCGTTAGTCACCTACTAGACTACAACGGAGTCAAATATGGGCAGGGAAGAAATTGTAAGCGTCTATATTGTGTATTTAAACAGTACTGAATCATTAATGTACTACCCAGTAACGTAAAATTATATTGCGACACATGTAAAAAGTGCAGTCCGCATCGGGTAAAACCATTTAGTCGTGACACCATGAATAATCATTGTAAAATGCAATGTCAAAGCTATGTTTTATCCACTTAAAATAATAAACTACTCGTTAATGAAATTTTAGAACTCCATAGCAGGTTATTATTTACAAAATGGCCACCATTACCATAGAAACCATATTTTCAGAAGAGTCCTTGACGCATGCAAATATTTTCCCTTCAGTGCCTCAACTAATATATAAACAAATAAATAAAAAAGGCTCATTATTTAATTACAATTTTTTTCGTTTTATCTGGAGCCTAACCCCCCCCCCCCCCCCCCCCTTAAACATTTTAAAGTACTGAAACAATAAATAAAAACGTTTTAATTACAAGATTTCATGTAATAATGCACTAAAAAGGAGAAAATATTTCATTATCTTAAAATATATTTTAATACTAAACCATTACATATATATTACATTTTCAAAACCTTTTCAAAAAGTCTACAGCTCTACCGCTTTGCCACTCCGCTCCTTGGAACAGTGTTGGAGTAACATTTGATGCCTTTTTACTATTACAATTTGCTAATCAATGGAAAGTAAAATAATATTTACCCAAGGGAGAGTTCAGTTAATGCCAAGAGAAGTAAGAGGCACAGCTTTATTTCCATTTTTATATCAGTTGAGGCTGCAATCCAATGATTTATGAAAATTATATATATATATATATATATATATATATATATATATATATATATATATATATATATATATATATATATATATATATATATATATATATATATACATATATATATATATATACATATATATATATACATATATATATATACATATATATACATATATATATATATATATATATATATATATATATATATATATATATATATATATATATATATATATATTAGCTCATTATGCAAGCCTCAACATACAGATGTCTAGACTATGCAATTAAATCTTCTTTGCTGACGCTCATAAGACACGGCAATGCCCTGGGCAACATATGTCTGATTGCGTAGCAGCTTTTAATTATGTACAAGAGTGATGCTTCAATTAATATAACAAATAATGCTGTATTGGATGAACAGCTTAAAGTATTGATTTTGGAATGATAGTTACATTGTGTTGATAGATAGCAGTTCATATGCGCTTGCAATACAAATTTCATATGAGAGGATTATTTGTAACGTAGTTGGCTCAGAGAGCGCACATATTAGAACCATAGCATTTGTTGCGAGTAGGACATATGAAATATGTGTTATATCAGGATCACAATATGGACGCTGTATTTCGGTAGTAGGAAGATGTTCCGCGAATGGAGGTTACGTGTAGGCAAGTCACAGTGGCGTAGGCATTAAAGGGGAGTTTGGGGTTATAACCCCCCCCCCCCCCACCAGGCTATTTATAGGTCTAAAAACCCGACCAAAAAATATTTACACATTGACAGAATAATGTTTTTAAAGGTATGATACGGCAGTGATTGTCCTATAGTTACTTACACATAATATTGCTTGATCTGTAGTATTAAGATAGGCAAACCTTCAAACCTTTTCCAAAACTTATCGCCCCTATTTAAATTGTCTAATAATGGTAATAGTTTTGTACCTAGCACATTAAAAACAATTTCTTTTCGTAATAATACTAACATTTTAGTATACTAGATGTTACGGTCTATTGCCGCTCGAGCCCGTATCTTCTTCTAATAATTGTTTAATACTTGCGACCAGTTGTTACGACCAACCTTTCGTTCAACTCCAAACACGTTTCAAGGTACTGTTCAAACCTTTATTTAGCTTGTCTTTTCATCATTACACCACAAGCCCTCGACCCTAGCCGCTACCAACAAACCCTAGCCGCTACCAACAAGCCCTCGACCCTAGCCGCTACCAACAAGCCCTCGACCCTAGCCGCTACCAACAAGCCCTCGACCCTAGCCGCTACCAACAAGCCCTAGCCGCTACCAACAAGCCCTCGACACTACCAACAAGCCCTCGACCCTAGCCGCTACCAACAAACCCTCGACCCTAGCCGCTACCAACAAGCCCTCGACCCTAGCCGCTACCAACAAGCCCTCGACCCTAGCCGCTACCAACCAAGCCCTCGACCCTAGCTACTACCAACAAGCCCTCGACCCTAGCCGCTACCAACAAGCCCTCGACCCTAGCCGCTACCAACAAGCCCCTAACCGCTACCAACAAGCCCTCGACACTACCAACAAGCCCTCCACCCTAGCCGCTACCAACAAGCCCTCGACCCTAGCCGCTACCAACAAGCCCCTAGCCGCTACCAACAAGCCCCTAACCGCTACCAACAAGCCCTCGACACTACCAACAAGCCCTCCACCCTAGCCGCTACCAACAAGCCCCTAACCGCTACCAACAAGCCCTCCACCCTAGCCGCTACCAACAAGCCCTCCACCCTAGCCGCTACCAACAAGCCCTCCACCCTAGCCACTACCAACAAGCCCCTAGCTTCTACCAACAAGCCCTAGCCGCTACCAACAAGCCCTCGACCCTAGCCGCTACCAACAAGCCCCTAGCCGCTACCAACAAGCCCTCGACCCTAGCCGCTACCAACCAACCCTCGACCCTAGCCGCTACCAACAAGCCCCTAGCCGCTACCAACAAGCCCTCGACCCTAGCCGCTACCAACCAACCCTCGACCCTAGCCGCTACTAACCAACCCCCGACCCTAGACGCTACCAACCAACCACCCCACACAATCATTTACTCCTGCTTTTATACCCGCATTTGAGCTGAGATAACAATATATAAACACAGTGTTAACTACACACGGGGTTAACTCAACTCACACATGTCTCTCCCCTACGTTCTAGATTATTCTAACTTATTCTAATCTACCCTACCATTGACCCGCAACACGAAGAATGAAATAGCTGTATAAAGGAAAGATCAAAGAGTTTTTGCGAACAAAGATTTCCAAAAATAATACGAAATTACCCGTGTGATTGCTTGTAATGTTAAAGGTGTAGCGAGTGCTAATATCTCAAACAAAAGCGTGTTTGTGAGGTGTAAAATACTGTGTAAGTGTAATCAGGCGTGCCTTGTACTGTACTCGTGTGATCGTGTTATAGTTCGTTGTATGGAGAAATGTGTGTGGTGTGAGCACACTCATACACACAAACGTATACACACATCTCACTCACTCAGACAACTAAACACCTTTTTGTACACTAATACATACTAAACCGCACATTTTCCAAGAATTAAAAAAGGATAGTTACAAATGTGAAAAAAGTAAGGAAAAAAGTATACACTATTTGATGGGAATTTTTTTAGATGTGTCTGGACCAAAGGAAGGGAAGGTGTGATCAGATCTTTAATTTTCTCGTACATTTGTTACATACCCAGATGAACTGAGTGATAGGAAGGTTCTAGTGACTAGGCTTCGAACTCGTGACTATCGGATTAGCAGCCGAGTGCGCTACCGACTAGACCAACAGTCTCATGTAAATTTATTTATTCTATAATTAGATATATAATATCCACTAATATAGGCCTATTGGTTGTTTTCTTTAACTAATTCAATAATTAATATTATAGACCTACAGATTGGTGAAATAAGTCAATACAGTATTGTCCTACCTTCTCGTCACTAATTTTTATTTATTTATTTTGCCCTCCAGTTTATTTTGGTTATTTCCCTTTCCCTAACCTTATTCTATTTCATGTTATTTTGTTGTGTTGTTTTTCCAACGCACCCGTGTTTTTTTTTTGTTTTTTTTCTTGTTAAACTTGTAATGATACCGCGCGTGTGAACTAATTCTTTACAATTTACCTTTTCAGTTTCATCCCATAACATTCATGATTGTTATTTCACTGAATTTTAAATTGTATTTCTTGAACGCTTCAACATAAAAATAAATCACTAGAGTTACGTTACAGATAAACACCAACATTTACTAAATTACTTTGACGTTATGACCGGGTAAAAATAAAAACATGAACCATATAAATAGAAGGGATGTTAATTTGATTAAAATATTTATATACGTTATGATTACATAGACATGTTGTTCGTTTTAAGCGTGTGTACTTTAACAAAGCAGGAAATTAAACTCATGTGTCAAGTTGTTTCATTAAATGAATTCTAGATTTTAAATTTACAATAGAGACACTATATTCTAGCACTCTATAGTTTACAATATTCAGATCGATTTTTTTAAAAAATACTGGCATTCTAACTATTGTGCTTAGTTACAGAAATTACATTTTATCAAAATAACATTTATGCTGTATGTATATTTAAACACAATTTCAAAGATATGTGCAATCTGCTCCGTTTCATATTAACATATAGTTGTGTTTTATGTAAGTATTTAAATGTTGTACATATTTATTTCATTACTAGACGGCTTGCATTGCATTGTTCTAACTTATGTGAATATATACCTTAACTGTAATTAGTGAAAATGCTGGCGCTATCCAACGAAGCGGTGAGTTTAGTGTATGTCTGCACGGTGTTGGTGAAACAGGTGAACTCTACTGTACCTACTTCATGGGCCGTTAATTTTTCAAAGGTACTTAATTATTTTAGCGTTGGGTTGAGTGAGTAATGATTAGTTTTTTACTCTGAGAGAGTAATGATTATTTTTTTTTTACCTAGAGAGAGAAAAGTTTAGTTTTTTTACTCTGAGAGAGAAAAGTTTAATTTTTTACCCTGAGAGAGAAAAGATTATTTTCACCCTAAGAAAGTAATGATAATTTTTTTGAACCAGGTCTGTTTGGGCAGGTTATACACATATTGCCATATAGACAGCAGGACAGCATGACGTCATGTTCATCCAGTCTACGTCACGGCATTGACAAAGCGGTTCTCAAAGTGAACGTCAGCATAAACAGAAGAGAGTGGTCGACTGTGGTGGTCATTACGTTTAGGACGTTGATCTCTACAGAGTTCAGATATGTAAGTTTAGCTTGTGTGACCTGACTTAATGGTCACTCGTGTGTTGTTTGTCTTAAGATCATCCAACGATAGCGAGTTTAGATATGTGAGTTGAGCTTGTGGGATATGTTTAAATGGTCATTCAAAGCTATTGAGTTCAGATATCTAGATATAGCATGTGTGATCTTTCTTAATGATCACTCAAGGCTATTGAGTTTTGGTATATAGCTATAGCATGTGTTGTCTTTCTTAGGTCATCCTACGATAGCGAGTTTATATATGTACCTATAGCATGTGTAATCTGTCGTAATATTCATTCAACTATATGTTTAGTTATGTGAGTATTGAATCTCACTCTGGCCTAAGATTAAAATAAAAAAAAAATAATTTAGGTTAGATAAATGAGTATGGCATTTTAGTATAGGAGTAAGAAAAATAAAATACTGAAGACGGTATCTTTGTGTTTAAACATGGTTGTTAATCTATTATTGCTGTTGTAGGTGGTAGTTGGTTGAAGTGACGGCTCTATTTTGTAAAAGTTGTAAATGTTAAATAACGTGTGTGTACGCTAATTATTGTATCCAATCAACCTGTGACTGTCGTGAGAACTAATTAGACAATTAACTTCCTGTGTTCAATTCTTACACGCTTGTCATAGCTTGTTAAGTTTATAATATTCAAGATGTGGAGTTTTTCGAGAATTTCACACACTTGAATAACTTGATCTGTATACAACAATTAACCTTTGATTAACTTAGCTCGTTAATTAACGATTCCGCGAAGGTACTTTGACTTTTGTGTCATACATATTTCAAGATAATTACAAAGTAATTTTTTGTAAATTTTTTAATACACTTCAGTGTAACTGTACATTTTGAAAGTGCTAAAACCAGTTATAGTTGCAAAGAAATAGATTACCGTTTTTATAGATTGAATTAGGTTTTAAGTCGCAGGCTGGTGAATTTCGAAGTGCTTTTTGCCGGTCTATTGCCATCTTGTAATGCTATAGGAAACAAACTATTGTATTAGTAAATTTGTATGCATCATATTGAGATTATTTAATTTGGAATTGTAAAATTTAACGTAGCAAAATGTACCAAGGGTTGTGGGGATCGACAAAGTTGTAGGCTAGTACAAATTAAAACTTGTCTCAAAGAAATTGTAGAAAAATAGTGTCTGGTTAGTAGGCTAACAAAGTTTCATCCTGTAAAAAAATGAAATGTAAAACACAAAAAGATGCTTAAAATTTGTAGAAACGAAAAAAATAGGCCGCACGTTTAAAAGCTGTGTTTAGAAAGATCGAGTTTGGTTTATTACATGCTACTCCAACATTGTATATAAGTGTCTTTACCCTCCCCCCCCCCCTACACACCCCCACCCCACTCCACCCAGCTGTGCGCTGTTGACCTAGCTCACGGCTGTGTAGGCTTCAAGCCCCTGACCTGCTATTGTGACGTCACAACGCAGATCGTCATCAACCTCACAGCCCGAGTTTCGCTGAGTGAGGCGGACATACAAGGGTACATAACCCACAGCCAGACTAACCTAGAGACAAGAAGTAATATTCAACGGTTACCTCCCATCATAGGTATCTATATTTGAAATAAGTTATGCCGTGCTATAAAAAAATGAAGTATAATTAGTGCACACCTGTCGTTTAGTTATTTATTCAACTAAATGACAGGTGTGAAGTAAGTAAATACTTAAATTAACAATTTGATAAAAGCGTATTTTGAATTTTAAATATTGATTTTTTAACCTCCAACAAACATGTGAAAGGTGTTTGTCATAATACCTCAGCACATCACATGGTGTGTGTCATACATACCTCAGCACATAAAATCGTGTGTGTAATACACACTTCAGCACATCACATGGTGTGTGTCATACATACTTCAGCACATAAAATCGTGTGTGTAATACATACTTCAGTAAATAAAATGGTGTATGTCACACAATCTAAAGTACATCTTTACTGCCGATTAGATAAACAATATAAGCTCTTATATTCATGGCGCAACTCTAAATATATAGGACTGCAGCGTAAATAAATTATATTAAATTAATTTATATCACGTAAACTTTATTAATTTATTTAATGTTGATTGATTTTTCCAGAGTGTGTTAACTATTTTTTTTTTACTCTAATCCAGATGTTTCTTCATTAACACTAACCCCACACAAAGTGACCTCTGACCCTAGCCAGAGAGCAGCACTAATACTAAAGGAACAAAACGTGACCTCTGACACGGTGACCTTACCTGGGCATGTGCGGACAGTTGAGGTGTGTTGCCACGACACACCTGAGCCGTGTGTCGGTCATCTGTCAGCTGACAACCTGACCGTGTCGTCCAACACAACGTGTGTGTCGTACGGCATCACACGGCATACAACAACTTATCTGACGTACAGCTATACCATATGTGGTCTGGCATCCAGCAGGAGGTTTACAGTACTGGTAGATGGGCACAATTTTTCAGGTCTATTAATTAATTAAGTAAATAATTAGCCGCATGTCAATGATTTTTTAAACACGCACAATTTTTCAGGTCTGTTTAATTAATTAAGTAAATAATTAGCCGCATGTCATTGATTTTTAAACACACACAATTTTATAATCATAGATCTGTATTTAATTAGGCTCTTTATATGTTTTAATTATTTTTTTCTATGACGATTATTGCTAATATAACTTATATAATATAAACTTTTTTTTTCATTTCATGCATATTCATATATTTTAATTTACAAAATAAGTATTTATAACTATCTAAAAATATTTAAAAAAATATATTTTTAAAAATTAATATTTTTGCAATTTAAAAGCTCTAACATTTTTCTGATGTTCTTGTCATCGACAGCATCAACTGTTAAAACAACATCAACACCTGGTGGTGTATCAGACACAGGTTTGATTGACACAATTTTGTGAATACATATAAGTTTTTTTTTAAAATGAATTATGGGTATTAGAATTTAGTTTTCAGATTTATGAAATATAAATATGTTTATAACAAAGTAATTTTTGTCAACAGAAACCATTTCTAGCTTTACCATAGACGGGAGGACTGTGGTCAATAATACAACAGGTGGGTTTAGTCTACCTTAGTCTACATGAAGAAACAAATGGATTTTTTAATACATGTGTAGTGGTTCTTGTATAATTCTGAGTGACAGCTATGTACAGTTGCCTTGGTCGTCTTGGAAGTACGCTGCTAGTCATGCGAGTTTATGTAATGAAAATATATACTTTTATTTTTAAATACTTCTGATCTTGAAAGTCTCATTTATCGAAAGATGCTGATTTAAATGTAATTACGCTAAACACTATAAAATGTTGTAATATGTTTAAACATTAACGGACGTTTAGCAAAGAAAAGATGTATGAATAAATTAAATACATTGATAATATATTCTCTAGTGGGGAGAAGGTTTAGTCCGTATCAATTAATTAGCTGTTTTTTTTAAACTTCAGCTATCCCTTGGAATAACTGTTTTCGCTTAAATTGACCTACAATTTTGGCAATGTATTAATTAATTCTCCAGGGATAACTCTATACACGGACACAGACCAGGAGAAGTCGACTGTTTTGGTTGTCGCCCTTTCTGTGTCTATCGCACTGCTTGTTCTGTTGTTATTGGCTCTGTTGGTTTTCTACATTTGTAAAGGTCAAATTATTCGAATTTTACTATATTTTAACATACGTCAATTAGATTCTTGATTACAATAAGAAATATAGTCATAATAATAATTTAAAAATATAATCTTATTAAATTATTACCCAAAGTTCAAATAAGTTGATTCAGCAATTTATGAAAGGAAAACAGAATAGCTACAGTTAAATGAGTTAAAATGAGTAACAATATTACCGGATGAGGCCTCTCAACACAATCTGAAAGAGTTCATAAGCCAAAAGCCATAATTTTAATATACTAATTATTTCCTTGAGCTCTCATTAAAAGTCATCGTTAATTATATTAAATCATGGGTGTTATAATTCTTCAAATGCACAATTACTTTTTAGTCTTGTAATTAATTGCATTTAAATTACTTTATTTGGTTTTAAGTTAATGTATCATTTAATTAAATAATAACCGCTTTACTAATTAATGAATCTGTTGACCACAGGTAAACGTCTCCTACAGAACCTCACTGAGATGGTGGGAGGGTCTGAGTCGGCCAAAATCCCGCGGACAGCCGGCGATGACGTCACCACTGAGCACGTGTACGAGTCTGTTATTTACACTGACACTGCCGGTGTCAGGGTGGACGTCTGGCAAACTGACATGACAGACAGTTCGTTAATTAAACTGGACACATCACTAGCTAATGATGAGTACATCATTCCGTCTGACCTCGTGTAGGGTAAGATCTAGGTCAGGTTGTAAATTACTAATAATAGTTTAGAAATAAAGTTTCAAAGTAAAAATGACGTTGTGTTTGGATGTTTTATTTATTCACTTGAAAAAAAAATTATGCCCTGTCTATTTGACATTTCTAATCGTGTGTTTCTATTGTTAAAAAAATTAAAGTTAAAATAATTTAAAAACAAAATATACAATAAATAATATACGTTGTGTAACAAATGAAAAAAATAAATTATGACCAAAGTTAAGTGGAATAATAACACTATTTACCTAGAATTGAAAAAATCACAGCTATATAGTAAAAATTAACAATGCAACTACCCTACTACAATAGATGTAAATTAATTAAATTAAGGACATAACTAGTCTCAAACACAATTAACCTCATATTGTTATTGAGTTTAATTAATCACTGCTATGTTATCAATGTAAGCTTATATTATGTAGGACACGAACATGGCCTTAACTTTCAAAATAAAGGTAATTAATTAAATATGTAATAATTTTATACTCAAAAGTTTTCCCCAAAAAATCTGGAAAAAATTAATAAATATTATTATCTACATTATGAGCAAGCCGACAACAGTATTTTCTATGCCGCGTATTATATTCTCATTGCGGTAATGTGTAAATTGAATCAGTTTGTTTTGTGTTGAGCCATCATTTATTTCAACTGTCTCGAATTTGGTGAAATGATTCCGTAACATGATGATATTAAAACAAGACAAAATTTTTGTCATGCTGCGAAATGAAATCGACAAAATTGACATAATGTTCTCCGTATCTTTCCCCTTCCACCACAATCAGACAAACTTAAAACACATACTGGCTACATAGGAAACAGCTGTTACACACATACTGGTTACATAATAAACAGCAAACAGCTGTTACACATACAGGTTGCATAGCAAACAGCTAGAGAGCAAACAGCTGTTACACCACCACCTGCTCACAACGATCAGGTTAAAGATTAAATGTATTCAGGTTTTCAGTAGTTCAGAATATCAACAAAATATCCAAATGATAATTGAACAGAAAATTAAAATAGCATAGTACTGATGGTAGAATTTTATTTGACAATCACGGTTTGGGCTGTATATAAAATCAAATATGAGTCAAGTAAGGAAAATATATGTTTCAAGTCAAGCAAATTAGTTTGGTAGTTTTTTAAATAGTAACTAAATTACATCAACTGTGTTCACGGATATAAAAACAGTTTACTACATATCCATTCCCAAAAACAATATACTAAGCAACACCATCGTAGTATAGAACGTAGCTTAAAATAACACAAATATATGGCTACGATAGTCAGATATATAAAATTTTCATCTCAGTTATGTATTTGCTAAATAAAAATAGTTAGTGACTTACAAAATGGGAAAAGAAAATATTGAATTTTCAATTAATTGAATGATACGATAGAAATAAAATTATACTAAATACTAAATATATAAATAAAATCAAACTGAAAATTATAACCTATTTAAAAAAAAAAATTCATGATGTGTTTACATTGTCACTTGGTGTAAAATATGCTTGTATTGCAATACTAACTTTACACAGCAAATAGTTTTGAAATTGCTTGACATCAAAGCTAGGTGTGGAGTCTTGAGTTGAAGATGTGTATCCGTTTGCTTCAATCCCAGCAATAGCTAGCGCCTTTGGTAGTGTGTTGAAGTCACAGTTACTATAAACCTCACCACCTAAATTTACAATCTTTGCTGACTCAATGTTGTGGGTGAAATTACTGTAAAGATACGTGTACACATTTTAGCTTTGTTAAAATATAAATTGATCAATTATTAAGACTGAAAAAACTAATGTAAATCTCTTTAGTCCTAGTTTTCAATTAGAAAGATACAATAGAGAAAATATATTTTTTGACCTCAACAAATGAACGGTTAGTGTTGTCAGCATTATGCCAAGCCGTCTTTACTTTCTCCAACGTATGTCAGGTACCCATCCGAGCTGGGTGGACTCAGGAATGTCTTACAGTCACAAATCCGTACCGAGAATCGAACTCGAAATTTTTGGAGTAACAGGCAAACACTTAACCCTTCGACCACGCCATTTAATATTGTTATGAATTTTTATAGCAAAACAGGATAAATAAACATTTTAAAGTACTGAAACAATAAATAAAAACGTTTTAATTACAAGATTTCATGTAATAATGCACTAAAAAGGAGAAAATATTTCATTATCTTAAAATATATTTTAATACTAAACCATTACATATATATTACATTTTCAAAACCTTTTCAAAAAGTCTACAGCTCTACCGCTTTGCCACTCCGCTCCTTGGAACAGTGTTGGAGTAACATTTGATGCCTTTTTACTATTACAATTTGCTAATCAATGGAAAGTAAAATAATATTTACCCAAGGGAGAGTTCAGTTAATGCCAAGAGAAGTAAGAGGCACAGCTTTATTTCCATTTTTATATCAGTTGAGGCTGCAATCCAATGATTTATGAAAATTATATATATATATATATATATATATATATATATATATATATATATATATATATATATATATATATATATATATATATATACATATATATATATATATACATATATATATATACATATATATATATACATATATATACATATATATATATATATATATATATATATATATATATATATATATATATATATATATATATATATATATATATATTAGCTCATTATGCAAGCCTCAACATACAGATGTCTAGACTATGCAATTAAATCTTCTTTGCTGACGCTCATAAGACACGGCAATGCCCTGGGCAACATATGTCTGATTGCGTAGCAGCTTTTAATTATGTACAAGAGTGATGCTTCAATTAATATAACAAATAATGCTGTATTGGATGAACAGCTTAAAGTATTGATTTTGGAATGATAGTTACATTGTGTTGATAGATAGCAGTTCATATGCGCTTGCAATACAAATTTCATATGAGAGGATTATTTGTAACGTAGTTGGCTCAGAGAGCGCACATATTAGAACCATAGCATTTGTTGCGAGTAGGACATATGAAATATGTGTTATATCAGGATCACAATATGGACGCTGTATTTCGGTAGTAGGAAGATGTTCCGCGAATGGAGGTTACGTGTAGGCAAGTCACAGTGGCGTAGGCATTAAAGGGGAGTTTGGGGTTATAACCCCCCCCCCACCAGGCTATTTATAGGTCTAAAAACCCGACCAAAAAATATTTACACATTGACAGAATAATGTTTTTAAAGGTATGATACGGCAGTGATTGTCCTATAGTTACTTACACATAATATTGCTTGATCTGTAGTATTAAGATAGGCAAACCTTCAAACCTTTTCCAAAACTTATCGCCCCTATTTAAATTGTCTAATAATGGTAATAGTTTTGTACCTAGCACATTAAAAACAATTTCTTTTCGTAATAATACTAACATTTTAGTATACTAGATGTTACGGTCTATTGCCGCTCGAGCCCGTATCTTCTTCTAATAATTGTTTAATACTTGCGACCAGTTGTTACGACCAACCTTTCGTTCAACTCCAAACACGTTTCAAGGTACTGTTCAAACCTTTATTTAGCTTGTCTTTTCATCATTACACCACAAGCCCTCGACCCTAGCCGCTACCAACAAACCCTAGCCGCTACCAACAAGCCCTCGACCCTAGCCGCTACCAACAAGCCCTCGACCCTAGCCGCTACCAACAAGCCCTCGACCCTAGCCGCTACCAACAAGCCCTAGCCGCTACCAACAAGCCCTCGACACTACCAACAAGCCCTCGACCCTAGCCGCTACCAACAAACCCTCGACCCTAGCCGCTACCAACAAGCCCTCGACCCTAGCCGCTACCAACAAGCCCTCGACCCTAGCCGCTACCAACCAAGCCCTCGACCCTAGCTACTACCAACAAGCCCTCGACCCTAGCCGCTACCAACAAGCCCTCGACCCTAGCCGCTACCAACAAGCCCCTAACCGCTACCAACAAGCCCTCGACACTACCAACAAGCCCTCCACCCTAGCCGCTACCAACAAGCCCTCGACCCTAGCCGCTACCAACAAGCCCCTAGCCGCTACCAACAAGCCCCTAACCGCTACCAACAAGCCCTCGACACTACCAACAAGCCCTCCACCCTAGCCGCTACCAACAAGCCCCTAACCGCTACCAACAAGCCCTCCACCCTAGCCGCTACCAACAAGCCCTCCACCCTAGCCGCTACCAACAAGCCCTCCACCCTAGCCACTACCAACAAGCCCCTAGCTTCTACCAACAAGCCCTAGCCGCTACCAACAAGCCCTCGACCCTAGCCGCTACCAACAAGCCCCTAGCCGCTACCAACAAGCCCTCGACCCTAGCCGCTACCAACCAACCCTCGACCCTAGCCGCTACCAACAAGCCCCTAGCCGCTACCAACAAGCCCTCGACCCTAGCCGCTACCAACCAACCCTCGACCCTAGCCGCTACTAACCAACCCCCGACCCTAGACGCTACCAACCAACCACCCCACACAATCATTTACTCCTGCTTTTATACCCGCATTTGAGCTGAGATAACAATATATAAACACAGTGTTAACTACACACGGGGTTAACTCAACTCACACATGTCTCTCCCCTACGTTCTAGATTATTCTAACTTATTCTAATCTACCCTACCATTGACCCGCAACACGAAGAATGAAATAGCTGTATAAAGGAAAGATCAAAGAGTTTTTGCGAACAAAGATTTCCAAAAATAATACGAAATTACCCGTGTGATTGCTTGTAATGTTAAAGGTGTAGCGAGTGCTAATATCTCAAACAAAAGCGTGTTTGTGAGGTGTAAAATACTGTGTAAGTGTAATCAGGCGTGCCTTGTACTGTACTCGTGTGATCGTGTTATAGTTCGTTGTATGGAGAAATGTGTGTGGTGTGAGCACACTCATACACACAAACGTATACACACATCTCACTCACTCAGACAACTAAACACCTTTTTGTACACTAATACATACTAAACCGCACATTTTC